ACTGAATACTTGTACGCAAAGGACTTAAACAAAGCCCTGCAATACATGTACGACAACAAGCGATACTCACAACTCGTCTTTTACTTGGAAGCGTGTGAATCAGGTTTGTATTCATTGCTATTAATTATCACATATTTTATACAATAAATCTTAATTCAATCATAGGCTCAATGTTTAGCAAACTATTACCGAAAAATATCAATGTTTACGCGACGACGGCCTCCAATCCCACTGAATCCAGTTATGCCTGTTATTTTGATAACAAGCGACAAACTTACCTTGGTTAGTATTGGCTTTACCTCTATATTATAACTTAAATTACATGTTTATAACTAATTGTGTTGATATGCAGGCGATGTGTATAGTGTGAATTGGATTGAAGACAGCGATCGCAAGGATTGGGGCAAAGAGACACTTCTGGATCAGTTCAATCTGGTCAAGAAGGAGACCAATACATCCCATGTGATGGAATATGGTGACTTCAACATCGCTGGCGAACGATTGGGTGAATTCCAGGGTATATACAATTACCACGTTATTCATTACTGGCTAAGAATATTCAATATTTTGTATTTTTAAAGGCGATAAAAAACCATCGATTGAGGTCTTCGGTGGCGATGAAGTGCCCGTTGTTTTTGACGCCGTCGACAGCGGAGACGTGCCCTTACATATCCATCAAAAGAAAGTCGAAGCGGCCAGAGATGAGACCGAAAAACAAATGTAATTTTTATTTACTAATTATGTTTAGTTTTTATTTATATAATTAACATTTGTTTTATTCTGTAGTCTTACCGAACAATTGCAACGTCTGGTCGACGGCCGAGAGTTTGCGACCAAACATTTCCATCAATACGTCAATAGTATTAAGCATTTGGTTGGCGAACAAATCGATACCATTTTAACCCAAAAACAAGAGCTTAATAATAGAGAGTGTTATCAACAACTTGTAGATACTTTCCATGAAAAGTGTCTCAATTTGAATGAAGTAATTAACAAACAAAAAAAATTCAATTGTTTTAATGATTTCTCATTTTAATTAATTACTATATCTCTTTTTCATTATATCCAATAGAATCCATTTGTTTTGAGAAAACTTTACATTTTTGCAAATGTTTGCGAAGAATTGAGTCGCGGATCCGATGTTGAGATCAAGACCGAAGACGCTGTCGACCATTTGGTGGAGTATTGTTTCCACAATTTGGCCAAAGGTTATCAACAGCCCATTCTATAGTACTATTACTAACTGTGATAAACATATTGATTGTTATAAACAAATCTCTGTTTTGTTATTGTAATACCGAATGATAATTAATCAATAAAATTGTTTACAAATTGAATACAAAAATTAATTTAAATATAATTTATTAAACATCGTTGAATCCATATATAAATATAAATAATTTCCATAAGTAGTACACTTTACTTATAGTTAGTATTATTGTGCTTGTTTGGCAATTTTTTAAAAATTTATCTGGTTTATTTATGATTGCCAACAATGTACTAAGTTTTTACCTGTCACTAGACTTTGATTTATGAAATGGTTTTTCCATTATTATTAAGAATTTTCATATAAATTAGCTATTATTATATGTTTTATGAAATAATGTGCGTAAAATGCACCATGTGGACAAATACCACATATTGTTGAGATGCCTTTAAGTGGTAAATGAATATTTTAAATATAAATTAAGTGAATCACAAAACAAATGTTAATGAAATTACGGTATATTTCTTATAATATTTGTATCTAGGTATAATTTAGATATATTTTATGTTAAATTCACTTATAATTATTAGGAGATATAAATTAGCATAGTAAAATATTTTTGGTAAATATATTTATTAAAACTTAAAAAATAATGTGTGTTTTGTTTATTACCGTAATGAATAATAATGAATATTTCTAAAAATAATATCTTAATACTAGATATAATGAAAAGCAGAATAAGAATGAATAGTTATTATATAAAATAAATTACATTATGTTAATAATTATATTAATTAAGCCCTAAGTGTAGTCAATGGTTGGCCGTCATAGGAATGTGTGCCGTTATAATGAAAGCCATCCAAATCGAGTACAACTGTTCCCCACGTGTTA